ATAAAACTGGAAGAACTCGGGAATGATTGTAGGCGTGACTGTACTATGACTGTGACGGGAATAACCGACCGCATGTAACGGAGATGGCCGACTGTGATTGGGATAACTAATAACCAGTTATGACCCATCCTAACCGGAATAACCCACCAAAACTCGTAAGCCCAGAATCCATCTCTGTAGCCCGTAATACAAGATATACGACTGCAGTTCTTATTTCACACACTTTGGGGCCTCGCTCTAAGCCATAAGACGGCATTTTAACAATAATTCTACTGGATTATATTTCTGATATTGGTGGTTTTTGATACCGTTTATTGTATTATGACGCTCGTCTACATATTACTTTACTTTCATGAGATGACGATACGTTAAATACTTGTATACCTTTCTTTAGAACGTCTAATCATTGCACATATTACAGTTAATGTGACGTGAAGGATAGCTCGTGTATATCATTACATAGAGGCCATGGGGAAGTGATCTTATTGTAAGAATTAACAGAATGAATGCCTCTCGGAGATATGTTTAAACACAATTGTGAACTTATAAACACCACTGTCCAAATTCCCGACAAACCTTAATCAGAACGAAACGGAGAAAGTGGAATCATTAAGGCTGAAAACCCTACCTTGTGATCCAGGGTATCTATCATGCAACTAACGGGACACAAAATAGTCCTCAGATCCTGTCTACGTGTTTTATTATAAGTAACCCTGTCGGTGTTTTGGCCTGAGGTTGTAGTTGTCCTTTCGCTGTTGTAGGCTGTTGCTAAATATAACAAGTTGTTTGTTGATATATTCCTAGAATATATTTTGTTCTTTGAGAGTCTTGGTAATATATTTTGTACAAAGTTTACCGCCATACCAACAATTCCCAGTCAACGGTGCCCCGTTTTCCAAGGGTGTCCCATCTTGTGAGAATATCCGGTCCTTATAAACCCTAAGAATGTCCCTCGTCAACAGATTATCCCTCGCGTCACAAATACACCCCGTCATCATATATGTAAACCTTATCCAAAGAATATTCCTCGTCAACAGAGTGTCCCTTGTCCCAAGAATATACCTCGTGTATAGTTTTCCTTGTCCCAAGGATATACCTCGTCATTTGAGTGTCCCTTGTCAAAAACATATACCTCATCATTATAGTGTCCCTTGTCCCAAGAATATACCTCGTGTATAGAGTTTTTCTTGTCCCAAGAATGTACCTCGTCATTAGAGTGTCCCTTGACCTAGGCATATGTGTCGTCAACAGAGTATTCCTTGTCCGAAGAAATATATCTCGTCAACAAAATATCATTTTTCCTAAGAACATACCTCGTCAACAGAGTATTCCTTTGTCCTATGAATGTCTCTTATCAACAGAGTACCCCTTGGCCTATGAATGTCGTTCATCAACAGATTATCACTTGACCTTTAACAGAGTATCCTTTGTCCTAAGGACATACATCTTGTTTATGTTATTCCTTGTCCCAAGAACATACCTTGTCAACAGAGTATCACTTGTCCCAAGAATACACCTCGTCATCATAGTTCCCTTGTCCTTAGAAGACATCTCGTCAGCATAGTATTCCTTGTCCTATGGATCTACCTCCTCAACAGAGTGTCCTTTGTCCTAAGAATATACATTGTCAACAGATTATCCCTTGTCCTAAGAATACACTTCGTGTATAGAATTTCCCTTGTCCTTAGAATATACTTCGTAAACAGTGTCCCTTGTCCTAAGAATGTCTCTCTTCAACAGAGTATCCTTTGTCCCAAGAATATACCTCGTCAACAGAGTGTTACTTGTCCTTAGAATGTATCTCGTCAACAAAACATCACTTGTCCTAAGAATGTTCCTTGTCAAATACGTATCCCTTGTCCCAAGAATAAACCTCGTCAACAGAGTATTCCTTGTTCTAAGAATATCTCTCGTCAATAAAGCATCAATACGTATAGCATGTCCTGGGGACGTTCCTTGCCACATGAGTATAGCTTGTCCTGAGAATGTTCCTTTCGACTATCGCTCGTAAACAGAATATCCTTTTCTTAGGAGTGTCCCTGCCTTGATGTACATCTTTCCTCCGTTGTGTTAACGTTCTTGATAAATGACGTTTCCAACGTATACTGTCTTCACCAGATCTGAACTCGTTATTGTCAATCACTTGATCTGAACTCCCTTTTGGATATTCAGTCACACAGACATCATTCCATACTATGACTGAGTCAGACCTCACATCCGAACTATTCACCAGGCAGACCTCACATCCCAACTATATATGTATCAGACAGACCTAATAATAAAACTATAAATGGGACAGACCTCAAAATCCTTACAATGTATCAAACAGACCTCATATACGATCTATGTACCAGCCAAACCTCATGTCCGAACTACGTATTAGACAGACCTCGAATACAAACTATGTACCAGACAGACTTCAAATACGAACTATGTACCAAACATACCTCAAATACGATCTATGTATTAGACAGACCTCAAATACGAATTGTGTACCAGACAGACCTCAAATAGAAACTATGTACCAGACAGACCTCAAATACAAACTATGTACCAGACAGACCTCAAATACGATCTATGTACCAGACAGACCTCAAATACGAATTGTATACCAGACAGACCTCAAATACGAACTATGTACCAGACAGACCTCAAATACGATCTATGTACCAGACAGACCTCAAATACAAACTATGTACCAGACAGACCTCAAATACGAATTGTGAACCAGACAGACCTCAAATACGAACTATGTACCAGACAGACCTCAAATACGAATTATGTACCAGACAGACCTCAAATACGAACTAAGTACCAGACAGACCTCAAATACGAATTGTGTACCAGACAGACCTCAAATACGAATTGTGAACCAGACAGACCTCACATACGAACTAAGTATCGGACAGATATCGTATCCGAATTATAAATGAAACAGACCTCATATCCGAGGAATATCCTTCTGTTCCTAACATCGGAACAAGCCTAAGTTTTTGTATACACTATCCGAGTACAGTCTACATCATCCATGGTCCATAAGCAACATGTCCACAACTGAATTAACCCAAGTTCATGACTTCATCCAACATCTAACCTTGGCGGTTGTAGCTACACTGTGCTGCCCACGAGGTCCGCCTACACCAAAGCCTAAACATACATTGTTTACATCGTGTTGAGACGGAGATTCCCGACTCCACGCTTACAGTTTATGCCTACATGAAAGTGCGATTGGTAACAGATTCTGCACGTTTGGGTTTCTGTCAAGAAGCCCACAGGGCACCGGGTATATTTAAAGTGCTGCATGAAACGCATGATTATCATCACATAATATTCACAACATTTAGAATGGGACAACGTTCATATTCCACATCAAACAACACATTAACAGGATACAAATAAGTAAGTAAGATTGGATATTTCAGTTTCATAATATTACATATTATGGTCCGAATGACCAAAGGTTGTCTTCAGATATGTTTGGACCTTTAAAATAGCAACTTCGAACAATCAAAATCGAGCAATATTGTAACATGTTCTATGTTTGTATTCGTCTTACATCGGATGAAGCTCGATGTATGTAACAGATAGAGATGCTAATGTGCTATGAAATCTGTGGTCCAGATAGGAGGAGATTTAACACTGGAGAGTCAAGTCATGTCAACCAAGGCAATTACACCCAAGAGTAAGAACTATGGAAGCATAGAGCCGTGTTTGAAAATCCCTTTAGGCCTTACATTTGTTTACTTTGTTTACGGAACGGTCGAACTAAAAAATAAACAAAATGGGAAAGTCTATTGAAAGCAGTTTGTATTAGTTTAACCAATCAACAATTATTTTTTGTAATAAAATCCGTCTTTTTTACATAAATCTTGAAAAGTTCTGATAATAAGATCACTTCAGCCTAAGTTTACTGTTTCGGACAAACCAATCAAGATTCGAGATGGTAGTTACCTCCTCGTAATAAATATCATGATACCATTAGTGTCGCCGCGGACACGCCCGTGTGTTGTCGAGGAGAGCGTGGCACCATCATTGGTAAGACAACAACAGAGCTATATACTTTCATCATGTCCCCATACAGACTGAAGCAAGCAAGCTTCTTAATAAATAAATCATCATCAGACGTGTCGTTCACGTCTCGGGTACACCGACGACAGCACCACACGGCGGCAGCAACACGGGTGCGTCAACACGGCTACGACAATAGTCTTGGACAGTACCATTCTTATTTCATTACCTGGGTACTCCACAAAACATGACAAGACGATGCTACACATAACATATAACAGTCCACCCATCGGGGCGATATGATGGAACGTCGTGGCCAGGTATGTTTACTATATATACACCGTTACTACGTTACATCGAATGACAACTGGATAGGAAATAACACAAATACCAGAGAATTACTAGACATCTTAATATGTGACAGGTCTTGAGGTAAAATGGTAATGCTAAAGATGTAAGGACATAACTGAATAGAAAGCACAACACGAAGGAGACAACAAGATAGTAAACACTGACAATATACAATGTCCCAGCATACCTGGTCGCCAAGAAATCCGAACACACTGTAGCGAAGTACATACTACAAATATGTAGTGTCAGTCCGTTTCCCTCTCCATCCTCTCCAGTTGTCGCATTTCTCCTTCTATCTATCGCCCTCTCTCTCCCTTCCGCATTCCTTCTATCTCTTCTGTGGGAGAAATCCTTCTAGTTTCGGCGTCTTTCTAAACACACATTTATACTCCGTTCTGACGTCACAGTGTTAAATATAGTCGACCGAGCTGACGGAAAATACCTGTGACGCGTGAACCACAGACGCTTCTGATTGGCCGGGCCGGCTTCCAGCCCTCTGCCAAAGCTAACACTAGATCCATTCAACGTTTATGTGTACTACGTCATCAAAAACGGGCTCCTGCAATTTTTAGGGGCTGATCTTGGCGTTTTGCCCCGCCTTTTGGTTGAGGGAATGTAGTGATGTTGTGTGACGTCACAGAAATGCCGTTATTTCATGCTTTAGACTACAAACCAACTCGTCGCTCGTGGGAATACACTAGGCTGTATATAGTATTGATTTCGCTATTCTTAGACGATGCTCTGCGTAGGAAGTTCCCACGAATAGCGACAGCAGCGGTATGAGAACTGGCTAAAGCCTCTCTCCTCAAGCCTTCTGAAAGGGAAGAGGACATTTCGAGCGCGTGCAATATTCTGCGCGTGCAGGCGCCCAAATCATGAAATTGGCGAGAATGAAATAGCTTCCCATGAATTAGGGAGTGAGGTCGAGGTGAAGACTCATCTCGACACACATTCAGCGTTTTTGCCGGTGGACGGGTGGATGGATGGACACGGGGCATGTAATTGCAGGTAGGTGCATTTTTTTGTCAAAGGTTTTATAAACATGGTTTCCAATATTAATCCAACATGCATTTGGTTAACATGCTTAAGAATGGCGATCTTGCTGAAGATTTCATTGATACGAACACCCACGCGTGATAAGCATTAATTTCAGTGTGTATAAATACATGGTCTCATTGACAGACGATAACCGAAGGTTTATCAATGAAGCACAGGTGTTTGTATATAGACAATGAACGGATGAAAATACAGGCCTACACTTGCACGGTGTCACAACAGCTGTGACAGTCATATTTGAACGATTGGGCCATTGTTTATATAGATTTTTGAACATCAGACAGTGATAACAAAGGGAGGAATATCATTAATTTTGAACATATGTGCAGATACAGAATATGAAATATTCTTTTGCATGACGAAATATAATTCTGTAATAGGTTTTTCAAAAATGACATTCAATGAAGCGGACACGGTTAGCAAAGGGTTCACTGCACATCAATTTGATGACGTCATAGCTCTATGTGTACTCGGATGTCGTGTTCATGACGGTGGTAGGCGGGGACAATAGGCGTCTTGGTACGCCTTCTCCTACTCGTGATCGTCCCTAGAAAATAGATCCCATTGATGCATTATTCAAGCCAGGGAGGAAAATCTTGCATCCGATTGATGAGCACGTTGAAACAAACATTGTATATCTTCCACACCTGGGCATGTTCCACAAAGCGATCTTAGCGCTAGGACTATCGTAAGCCAGTGTTAAAGTGTGGGAGTTACGATCACCTTAGCACTAAGATGGCTTTGTGGAACGGGACCCAGGTTGTATTGTTATAACAATCAGCCCACTCATGTTAAAACCTTCAATAATATTGTGGGATGGCGTAAGCACCTTTCACAATATTTTATAAATGGCGGAAAAAGCTCATGTTTCCGAATATTGTTAAAATTATTATTCTTGGTCTTTAAAGGATCAGTAGTCACCAGGACTTCTTTCGTCTAAATTTACTCGACACATTGATGGATACTCTTTGAACGTGTATATTCGGATCGGAATCGTGAAGGAAACATCTTTGAAAAATAAACTAAATTTGGTTCAAAATTTCTAGAAATAGACACTGGAAGGTATTTACATACTGATTGACACAGTAATGTGCTTGAAAAATGTAACAAAAAATCACGTTACGGTTTTGCTGGCATTTTGAAATTATAAAAAACTTTTCTGTTAACATTTGTGTGTTGAAATAAACCTATCTGACACAATTGATTGAATCAGTAAAAACCTACATTTTGTGCGTCTATAATAGTCACCTGTTGTTTCCAGAGATACCCACGATAATAGCCATGTCTTTCAATCACTAAATACTCAAATTTATTTTTGAAAATTGTATGAATGGCGGGTGCTACCTGTAGGGCATGACCTGCTCACCCTTTTCGCGAACACCTGGTGTCATCACTGATATTCGGTTGTCTATTCATATAATTTCCACAGCTATTTTGCCCTTCACGCCAAATGGAATCTGTTTGGGCAGAAAGTGCAGGCTGCTTATTCTCTTGCATTGACAGTTTATATTTTCTTGAACTGGGTCGATGTTTCTGCCGGCTGACTGAAGTCCCCGAGTGTCATCATAGGCTCAGTAGCATGTTTCTATGCTGAGTCAACTACAACAGAAATGATTCGGCCAAGACTTTAAAAATACGCCCCACTGTGTTGCAAAACGAATATATTTCTTAAAGTTTTTCTTTGCTTATAAGCAGCAAGATCTCTGCACTTGTACACAGCAGACGTAATTCCAAATTAACACATCGTTTTTATTAGTTTCAACAAAATCAGTAATGGTACTATCTTGTCACTGGATTTTCTGGTTTGTCGATCACTGGATTGTCTGGTTTGCTTACAGGCTGACGACGCATGTTTGAGTGTACTTACTTTATTTTTGCAAATTGTATGAATGGCTGGTGCTACCGGAAGGCAGGACATGCTTGCCCTTTTCGCGAACACCTGGTGTCGTCACTGATTTCAAGTGGTCTATTCATATATTTTCAACAGCTTTTTTGCCCTTTACGCCAAATGGAATCTGTTTGGGCAGAAAATCTAGGCTGGTTATTCACTTGCATTGACAATTTATGTTTATTGACGCTTGAACTCGGTAGACAAAGCTTGAATTCACCTATCAAAGATTCCAATACTCCTTTTTCCACTGCACGGTAGTGATAAATACGTTTTGCTTCTGATAAACAATATGTTATTGTGAACCATATTCGTTTGGAACGCGTCATTTCCAAGCATGTCATGGATCGTAGGTATGGTCATGTCTTTATCTGAAAGAATATCCTCTAGATTGCGTTTCATGATATGTTGTGTTGGTGGAACCCGTGGAGAGTACGGGCTGGATCTGCGCCCCCCTTCCCCCCCCCCCCCCCACCTATGCTGGTCGTCAGAGGCGAGTAAGTAGATCTGGTGGTTCGGCTTGGTGACTTCACTGATTGCTAGTCATCGTTCCCCGACCGCATTGATCGTTGCTCATAATATCAAACACTGGATTGTCTGGTCCAGACTCGTTTATTTACAGGCCGCCGTCATATAGCTGGAATATTGCTGTGTGGCGTTAAACAACAAACAAACAAACATATATTACCATGAGTGTACATTATTTGCACTGAGCAAGGGAAATCTTTAATCGTTATGATACCTTGTCCGGTATTTTCAAGTTGTAATTATAAATGAAATGGAAGAAACAAAGTGTCACGTCCTCGTGATCGATTGTGCAGCTGAACATTATATCTGTTTGTAAAATGAAAGTTGTTTTCGGTAACTCTATACATTCGTTTATGTCATCATTCCACACCTACATGACATTCCTTGGAAATGTAATGCTAAATAATTAAAAGCAACAAAGAACGTATTTGCAGTGTCGTTAAGATACCTTTGTCTTTTCATTTTAAATTAATGAGCTTTGCTTTATGCTAGTGATATCGACCTTTAGCAAGGGTTATAGACAGTAGTTTTCATGAGTTAATTCAATAAATAAAAGCAACAACTTTCCACATTCATAAGCAATCTCTGGCCAAAGCAGAGTCGATTGTACGATTCTGACATTATCCTGGGCATGTGTTTACGAATCACTATCAAATAGTGATGATAACAGGTGTTCGCGAATCGGTGTGCATATCCTGCCCCACCGATGGCACCCGTCACAAACACATGCAAAGGCAAATGGTTTAGCTGTTCAAAATCTCAATAGTCATATTCAGAAAAAAACCAGGTCAAGTGATGTTACAGAATATTGTTCTTAACAACCGACATTACCCTGGCGCGGCTGAATGAACCACTAAAGGATCGTTGCTGTCTTGTCACAACCACCAATAGAACTTTGCTGTCTTATCAAAACCACCCAAAAATATCTTTGTTGTCTTGTCAAAACCAGCCAAAAATATCTTTGCTGTCTTGTCAAACCACCAAGAAAACCCCGCTGTCATGTCCAAACCAACAAAACGTTGCCGTCTTGTCAGAACCATCAACGTTGCTGTCTTGTCAAAACCACCAAAAACGTTGCTTTCCAAACGTTGCCCAAACGATGGCACCCGTCACAAACACATGCAAAGGAAAAAAAAGGAAAAGGTCAAGTAATGTTACAGAATATTGTTCTTAACAACCGACATTCCCCTGTTTTGTCTTGTCAAAACCACCAACAACACGTTGCTGTCTTGTCAAAACCACCAACAACACGTTGCTGTCTTGTCAAAACGACCAACAACACGTTGCTGTCTTGTCAAAACCACCAACAACACGTTGCTGTCTTGTCAAAACGACCAACAACACGTTGCTGTCTTTACAAAACCACCAGCCAAACGTTGCTTTCTTGTCAAACACCACTAACGAGACGTTGCTGTCTTGTCAAAACCAACAAAACATTGCCGTCTTGTCATGAAATCAGAATCCACCGTAGCGTTCATGCAGAACTGTCACTACTCACAGTGTGTTTTAGCGCCTCTTTGTAAACTGTCCCCGTGAAGCTGGATTTGGAAGAAAAGCCGAAAGTGTCGCAGATCTGACACCTTTTTTGTTTTTAGTGAAAACCATGGGAACTTGTATGGTGACTGCATGTTTTCGAAATATGTATTTGAGACCAGAATTATCGTAAAAATCATAGTCTTCTTTGTTATGAAACATTTTAGGTACACCCATTCTCTCGTTCCAGAATAACTGGTTAGTGGAGCTGAAGTGAATTGAAATACCAGCTTCAGTGTTCAAGTCCAACATGATTAAGATGTTCAAAGTCTTCAACGTCATATTCAGAAGAAATAGTTGTTTACAATCAGATCATAGAAGGAAGTAACCCCGTACAAGCGTTAGCGTGTCCCTGATTGGTCTAAACACTCTACACGTGTAATTGACGTCACGAAAGCAGTTTCACTGTGTACTTGGAGACGGAATAACGTCTTTTATAACTGTACTCAATCGGCCTTGGTTAACCTGTTTCTTCAGCCCTGTTTACATTTACGTTAAGTGGAACACATACAACCATAACCAACCCTGCTATAAAATACGGTAATAATATTAACGAATTGTAGTCTGGGTGTGCCATTTACCAACGAAATGACGCACGGGCAGGCTTATGAAAATGTGATATTTTCATTGTGTTTGGGTAACCAAGTTGTTAAAGCGTTCACTCGTCACACCAAAGGCCCGGGTTCGATTTCCCACAAGGGTACAATGTGTGAAGACCATACCAGGTGTCCCCGGCCTTGATATTCCTGGAATATTGTTAAATACGGCGTAAAACACACTTGAAACTCACTCATTCTGAAAGCTGATTATTCTTTAGCCAGGACTCGACTGGTCGATTACGCCCCAGACAAGAAAAAATCTCAAAGGACACCTTGTTTTCTCCCCAAAACTATTTTTATGTCACATAGACCAGAAGTGTGAATTTGGAGGTGGACAGGTTGGATTTGATTCAGATTAAGTCATTGATGATTAAGTATGTCAAACATATTGATTAGGGGCGGTC